AGACCACTTTCTTCAGCTTCCCTGACACCAGCATCACTGAGGGTGTGTCTAGACGACAGGGTTTTTTCAAAAAACCGTCACCGGCGTCTGGACTTCCGCCGCGTTCTTTCGAAAGTAAATCGAAAGAACACGGCCGTTTTTTCGATCGCGGTAAACCACACTTGATGAGGAATAACGCCTGTTTGCGAAAGTACTCTTTCGGAAAAAGGCGCTATTGAATGCAAACTCCTTTTTTGAAAGAGAGAGTCTAGAATCTTTCAAAAAAGCAGCTCACTTTTTCGAAAAATCTGCTTGTAGTCCAGACACTGTCTTTCAAAAGAGGCTCACAGTCTAGACGTAGCCTGAGAGTCCAAACACAGCCCCATCTGCCCAAACCAGCACTAGACACTCGAATGAGAAGATACCAGAGCTTTACGGAGCTGGGGTCAATTCCTCCCTTTGAGTCACCTTGATTTTACAATTTTTTTTTCAACTTGGGGTGGGGGTTAGCGTATGAACAATCAGGCTTATGATGGAGTATATACAGTATGTGTTATTCATCCCCACGCTGCATTACCCCCACCACAGGTAATCAGCACGGTCTGAAACCACAAACTCCAGTGGCAAAGCACAAGCCTCAACCACTTCAGCTGACTGAGGATTACCCCTCGACGGGCCAGCCGCTAGCGTGAGAACATGACGTGGTTTGGCAGAGCACCTGTAACTCACGCACCTACTGAGTGTGGGGCATGCTCCCAAGTAGACCAGTGACAGAGAGCGAGAATGAGTTTCCTCTCCAGCCTTAGGTGGGAGCCAGGTGGCTTTGAGTTCACGCTGTAGAGAGGCTGGGATGATGATAAGCGGGAACCGATTGGCTGGGAACCGATTGGCTGGGAACCGATTGGCTAAGCAGCAGTTCGGCAGAAAAGGACCCTGGGGATGACGGTGCATGAGAACCTAGAGATGAGTCAACACTGTGCCCTTGTAGCCAAGCAAGCTAACGGCTTTTTGGGCTACATTAGGAGGAGCATGGCCAGCAGATCTAGGGAAGGAATTATTCTCCTTGATTCAGCAGTGGCAAGGCCACATCTGGAGTAGAGTGTCCAGTTCTGGGCGCCCCATTACAGAAAGGATGTGGTCGCAGTGGAGAAAGTCCAGTGGGAGGGCAACAGAAATGATGAGGGGGCTGGAGCACATGACTTATGAGGACAGGCTGAGGGATTTGGGCTTTTTAGTCTCCAGAAGAGAAGAGTGAGGGGGGATTTGGTAGCAGCCTTCAACTCCCTGAAGGCAGGTTCCAAAGAGGCTGGAGAGAGGCTGTTGTCAGTGGGGGGGGGGACGGACACGAGGAGCAATGGTCTCAAGTTGTAGTGGGGGAGGTCTAGGTTGG